AAAGAAGAAAACCACCGTCACCACCACCGACAAAAAAACCCCCAAGACCAATTAATTCCAGTAGATTGCGGCAAAGCAGGGGTCTTGGTGGGGACGCATCCTGTTTTGACACTGACCCTGTCACCCCCAAGCCAGCACCTCCCTGATGAACTGTACTCAGCTGTGAAAGAAATTGGGAGTGACAAAGAATTCAGATCACTTGCAGGACAGTTTTTCTAACCTTTGGTCACTTGGAATGCTATTTTTTTTTTTTTAGACTAATTTGCTTTGATGGGAAAATAGAAAAAGCAAACCTAAGTCTTAAACTATGCCTACAGATCTATTTTAGAGCTGGACTTGAGGTCACCTAAGTTGGGTTATGATCTTACAAGGACCGTCTTTGCCTTTGAACAACGGCGGTCTGGTGAGGCCACTGCCGGGCAGCAGGGTCTCTGTCCCTAGGGCAAGTAGCACTGTCCTTTGCTTTTGTATTGCTAATACCCATGTTTGCTTTAAAAAAATTTTTTTTTTGATAGAGAGAGAGAGCATGATGGGGGGCGGGGGGCAGAAAGAGAGGGAGACACAGAGTCTGAAGCAGGCTCCAGGCCCTGAGCTGTCAGCACAGAGCCCGACGCGGGGCTCGAACTCATGAACCAGGAAATCATGACCCGAACGAAGTCAGATGCTTAACTGCCCCAGCCACCCGGGCGCCCCTACCCATGTTTGATTTGAACAGACATCACCTCAGCAACACCGGATGATTATGTAACCACCAGTTCTCTGTTTTATTCCAGGACCAGGTAAGAAATTTAGAGCCCAGTCAGAAGGATTTAGTTTAGGCTGTGGGCGAAAAGTATATTAAATAGACCGAATTTAGTGGAGCTGAGACCAGGAAGTGGATGTATGTATTTATCTTCCGTCTCTGTTGTCAGAGAAGCAGTCTTGGACGGATTCCTTAATTCACCCCTTTCCTGTCACCTTCGGCCGTTAGCACAACTGTTTTCTAGGTCATGACGACTGACTTTCAGGGCTCACGAATCCGGTCCAGTCTAAATAGGACAGCAGCCGCACATCCAGCCCCAAGCTCCCCCTGTACCTTTGCAGGGAGTTTTCTGGTGAGGGTGTGAGACAGTTACCTGCGGTGAGGAAGGAACCATCAGCACCTCTACCTGTTTATTTTTCTCACTCTTAATTTCTCTTTCGTGCCTGTTCTAAAATGTGCCTAAATTGTGGTTCGGTAGGGCATTTTTGGTTTGTGCGTCAGTATACATAAACGTACGAGGTTTTGCACCTTATGTTTACGGGGGCAACGTGAAAGCACGCTGGGGGTGCCCCGCAGGGGCAGGGGCTGGGCACGGAGGGGAAGCCGGAGGCAGTCAGTGATCCAGGAGGAGACTGCTGGAAGCAGAGGCCGGGGAGCTCGAACCGCAGGAGCCGGTCCCTGGGAGGCCGAGGGGCCCGGGAGCAGGGGTGCTGAGGCAGTGGTTTGGCTTGGCCGGTCCGTGCCAGGACTCGGGCGTGACTGGGACAAGTTCCCGAGCGCCCCGGGCCCCGTCTGAATGCCTGGCAGAGTGTCCGATCTGTCCATGGAACCCCTGTGTCTCGGTCACCTCTTTGCTTTGTCTGTCTAGCCAGGGCTGTTGCCACCCTCCTGCACTGTGGCCTGGGGCTTTGGCCCCCCTCCCTGGCGCCTTTTCTGCCCCCCGATTAACGTCTGTGCTGCCATCCCTGCGAGGCCCACCTGGAGAGCCCTGTACCTTCTGGTGTTTTCTCCCTTCCACACCAGCTTCCCAGAGGGGCTTTGGAGAGCCGACCTGGCTCTTGTACCCAGCACGGTGTCAAAATAAGATGAGACACGGCTTCGCGCCGTGGGGACTGTTCTCTGCCTGTCCCACGCCGGCCTGCCCGGGCAGCCAGACTTCTGCAGACTTTTTTTTTTTTTCTCACAGCCTCATGCAAATTCAGGGCTGCGGCTGGCTGAGTCTTCAGCCTGTTGCAGAGTCTCGCGGATGCTGCAAAGCCCAGGATCTGCTGCACCGTTAGAGGTTGGTCTAGCCAGAGCAGCGGCCCAGGGCTGCTCCGGGAGGGTGTGGGCAGAACGCATGTGTTTCTGACAGAGTTGTGCTCTGACCTGACTCCAAACACGGAAACCCAAGCACCTACCTGTAAAGAGCAGGTGCGAGGGAAAGAGGATGGGTTCATATCTGACCAGTTGAATTTGAATTGTTTTTAATGTTTTATTTATTTCTTTTTTTTAATTTTTTTTTTTTTTTACAAATAGTTTATTGTCAAATTAGTTTCCACATAACACCCAGTGCTCATCCCCACAAGTGCCCTCCTCCATGCCCATCCCCCCCCCCCCCACATCCATCAGTCCTCAGTTTTTGTCAGCATTCAAGAGTCTCTCATGGTTTGCCTCTCTCCCTTTCCCCCACCATTTCCCCCCTTCTTCTCCCCCTTGTTCCTCAGTTTTATTTATTTCTGAGAGAGAGAGAGACAGCATGAACCGGGGAGGGTCAGAAGAGAGAGAGAGATACAGAATCCAAAGCAGGCTCCAGGCTCTGAGCTGTCAGCACAGAGCCCGACGTGTAGCTCGAACCCACGAACCGTGCAATCGTGACCTGAGCTGAAGTTGGATGCTTCACTGACTGAGCCACCCAGGCACCCCTGACCAGTTGAACTTGAAATGTGTCTAGTGGATGCAGAGATGTCAATGTCTAGTCCCCTATTAAATATGTAGATTCATAGAACAGGAGGAAAATCAGAAGAGTATTGGAGAGGAAAACCTTTCCCTCTACTCTCTTAGGCTCTGTGCTTGGAGGCCTGCAATTTCAACTCCTACTAACATCTTAGCAAGAGAAAGGACAGGGGCGCCTAGGTGGCTCAGTCAGTTAAGCGTCCGACTTTGGCTCAGGTCATGATCACACAGTTCATGGGTTTGAGCCCCACATCGGGCTCTGTGCTGACACCTCAGAGCCTGGAGCCTGTTTCGGATTCTGTCTCTCCCTCCCTCTCTGACCCTCCCCTGCTCACACTGTCTCTCTCTCTCAGAAATAAATAAAACATTTAAAAAAAGTGTTTTTAAAAAAGAAAAAGGATAGATTTTAATCATATTGTGTACATAGGGGAGTTGACAAAGAAATGTGACTCAAGGGGTAGTTAGAATTTGGGTTTGTGTACCATCTTACTAGGTGAAGGGGATGGGGAGAAGGGCACTTATGGGAAAACAATTTAAACATTGAAACATAAAATGGTTATCTATATTGGAAACATAAAGAGTCCCTTTGGAAATGCATGGGAGATACGACAGTTTTGTGACTGTGTTGGAGTGTGGCACTCAGTTGCCTTCAAGAGCATTGCAGTTGTTCTCAAGGTGTATGCCCGCCGAGTTCTTTCAGGAGGCTCCGTGTTTAGGGGCACCGGGGTGGCTCAGTCAGGTAAGCGCCTGACATGGGCTCAGGTCATGATCTCACAGCTCGTGGGTTCTAGCCCTACGTGGGGGCTCTGTGCTGACAGATTGGAGCCTGCTTCAGATTCTCTATCTCCCTTTCTCTCTGCCCCTCCCCTGCTTGCATTCTGTCTCTGTCTCTCAAGATAAATACATTTTTTATATTAAAAATTTTTTTAAAAAGGCTCAGTGTTTATACAGATAAGCTATTTCAGGAACTCAAATGCCTTCAGTTCAAAATAATTTTTTATGTCATAGTGGCTTATTCTGGACCCCTTACAGGAGTGTTCCAGATCACTGAATGGGGAAATTGAAACCGTAAGTGAACTACAATGTAGAAGCCACCAGCCATCCTTAGAAAAATAGCTGATCCGAGTTTGGGGTGAGGAACCGTACCAGAGGGACCAAGAACATCTTATCTAATCAACATGGAAGCCATTAAAGACTACTGGGGTCAGATCAAAAGGGCACAGCAGCGCCCGTGGCCAAAGATGGGGCAGTCTGAGCGGCACGAAGTGTAATGACTGCAGTGGATCAGAACACGTAAATATGTATGAATCCATGCATTCGTAATGAACTTTAAAACAACAAAGTAAATTCATTTGTTTCCTTTGGAGAAATCTGTCACATGATTATTATGACAGCTAGCTAATAAGGGGGGAATCAAGCATTTATTCTGTTTTTAGATCTAACTGCCAATTTATGGAGCAGAAATTATGTAGATACAATCAACAAAATCTAGGGTGTCGGGAACTTTCTGGGGCAAATGACCCTGTTACTTCAATAAATAAAATTCCAGGAGAATAGAGAAGGTGAATTTATAGATTAGAGATTTAAGAGCCGCAAAAGTCAAACTAATGTGTAGCCTTTATGTGGATCCTAATTTGAACAAACAAACTGTTGATAAAACTTTATAAGACGTTTGGAGAAGTCTTTAGCTTTCAGAAACACACACTGAAATATTTGTAGACAAAGTAATATCTTTGAGGTTTGCTTCAGAATAATCCAGTGGTGTTGGGAAACAAAGTGGCACAAAATGAAACCGAATTGGCCGTGTGTTGGCATTTGTGGAAGCTCAGTGATCAGTGCTGTTGGCCCGTTGACTTGTGCGTGTGACCGAACGTTTCTGTAATCGTTTAGATTGAGGAGAAAGGAGGCCTAGACCTGATAGAGGAGGAGAATCGAGTGCAGGGGAGGCCCCGCGAGCAGAATCAGGATAAAGGGGCCGTGGAGGCCCACGGAGGAGATAAAGTCCCCACGGACCCGTAAGTTCGGGAGTGTTCAGCTGAAGGAAACCTTGAATGACAGGAGAGAGATCTTGATTTTCACTCCGCGTTTGCCTCCATTTCCTAAATTATACCTCTGCCTGCCTCTGAAAATGTCACATTGAACCGCGCAAACAATATAATTGTGGTCATATGTCCTGTCACATATATAATACGGGGTTATATATAGTTCTGTAGACATTTAGTCAAAGAAGAAGTTGGCTTTTGATCTCCTTCCTTTTGCCCACCTGGAGTGAGTCAGCCTTCCGGGGCAGGAGTGACCGCGTGTCTGCTTCGGGAAGGGTAAGATGTTAGTGAGTTCGGAGGCTTCCGTTCCTGCTCAGTAAATATTTTGAGTGTCCGGTTGTTTTTATTTTGGCAGAAACTCTGCTAGGTGTTGGGAACAGACCGATCACAGGAAGAGACCTGGTGTTCTCGCCCTCCTAGAATTCGGATTCTAGCAGATACACGTCAGACAAACCCTCACAACAACTAAAACAAACGTCCACCCTGCTAAGTGCAGGCAAGGAAGGTGCCCGGGGCTTCTAATGGCTTAGAGCAAAGGAACGTGGCCTAGTCTGCACGCTGAGTTAGGGACAGCTTCTCGAGGAAGTGACTTTGGAGCTGAGATGTAGGAGAAGAGTGTTGAGAGTAAGTCACGAGGGGAGGACAGACCAGGGCTTTCCAGGCGGAAGCAAGAGCGCGTGTGAAGATGCCGTGGGAGGAAGGCCCGGGTGGGTTCGGCGCACACAGTGGGGGGTGGGAGGGCAGCTGGTTGAGAAGGGCCGTCTAGGCGGGGCCGTGACCAGAGCGCTGGGGAGGCTCAGGACTGGCTCACACCTGGGGTGGAAAAGCAGAGGTGGGGGTCGAGGGGGGGGCAGTGCTGACAAGACCTTCGTGTGCTGTGATTTGTCTCTGGAAAGGTCTTGCTCACTGCACTGCCATTGCTGAGAGTTCTCTTTCCTGCTGCTTTTCTCCTTTGTCTTGACTCATGAGGAAGATCAGGGGCTCAAAAGATGGTGGCTGTTTACTGCACGCGCCGTTGGCCGGAGGCCACTGGGTTCCGACTCCTGGACTGAGGTCTTGCTAAGGCGCCGTGTGGGTATTATAGGCAGCCTGCTCTGTGAGGGCTGTGCTCGTCAGACCTGGATGTGGTACGTATGCCAAGTTAAATTTGCATTTCAGGTAAATAAACAAGTTCGTTTAAATGTCAGGTGAAGAATGAATAGGTTTTTAATAATATGGGACACTGAGTCATTTCAAATTAATTGATGCCCTGTTTTTTTAATGTGGCAACATTTACCAGAATATCTGTGTTACTATGCAAAGTAAAAAGAGTTTTGAGAAGTTATCGGAGTTGCATACAAATCCATCCATTCCTATCTACCCATCCATGTCCGTACTTCTATCCATCCATTTCATCCATCCATCCTTACTGAGCTTCCTCAATGTGCTGGACACTCCTGGGGGCTGAGGGCTCTGTGATTAATAAGAAAAACTCCGTACCTTTGTAATGTTTCCATTCCAGGGGCATAATGTTCATCTTAGAGGGACAGTGACAGACCCTTAGAGGTAACATTTATGTCCAGCATAGAGAAATGGACACACAATAAGATAAACTGTCCTGTAATCATTACAGAAATCACAGTTTCGAAGGTTATTACATGTCATGGGTGATGGTTTCCCATATAAAAGCAAATTACATAAAAGCCCACAGACCCTGCACGAGGTATCATGTAAATTGAAACTACAAGGTACAGATTTTTGTGTTACTATCCGGACAGAGATGTGGCTATATCTGAGTGTAGATATTATAGATAACCTTTCATTCAGTCTTCATAATTTTATTTTTTCTTACACATTTTCTACAAAAAGTTATGGATTAATTTTATACTTGGAAAAGTTTTTCTTTTCCAGAAGGTCTGCAGCAGCTGTAGAAAGACTAAAGATTGGTGCTAGATTCGGCTCTGTCATTAATTTTCAGGACAGCCTCGAGCAAGTCATGTCACTTATCTGGGCTTTAGTTTGTTGGATTTAAAATGAGGAGACTAGGGGCTCTTGGGTAGTCAGTAAAGTGTCCAGCTCTTGATTTTGGCTCAGGTCATGGTTTCACAATTAGTGAGATCAAACCCTGTGTCGGGCTCTCAGTGCAGAGCCCACTTGGGATTCTCTCTTTCCCTCTCTCTTTGCGGCTCCTATGATCTCTCTCTCTCAAAAATAAATAAATAAACATTAAAAAAAATGAGACTAAGCTGTGATTTTTGTGTGTCATTAAGAGCCAAATGAAGGTGGGGCACCTGGGTGGCTCAGTCGGTTGGGCATCTGACTTTAGCACAGGTCATGATCTTGCCATTCCTGGGTTCGACCCCCGCATCAGGCTCTGTGCTGACAGCTCAGAGCCTGGAGCCTGTTTCAGATTCTCTGTCTCCCTCTCTCTCTGCCCCTCACCTGCTAGCATTCTGTCTTTCCCTGTCTCTCTCTCAAAAATAAATAAACATTAAAATTTTTTTTATTTTATTTATTTATTTATTTTAATGTTTTTTATTTATTTCTAGGAGAGAGAGAGAGAGACAGCATGAGCAGGGGAGGGTCAGAGAGAGAGGGAGTCACAGACTGAAACAGGCTCCAGGCTCTGAGCTGGCAGCACAGAGCCCGACGCGGGGCTCGAACCCACCAACCGTGAGATCATGACCTAAGCGAAAGTCGGACACTTAACCGACTAAGCCACCCAGGCGCCCCCAAATTTTTTTTAAAAAGAACCAAATGAAGGTTAAAAATAATATGCTTATTCTTATGGAAGGAGTTCAGAGCCTCCATCGTTATACTCTATTGTGTCTTTATGAAATCCATCCATTATAATAGTCGTATTCTTTTGTTTTATCCAGCTGTTATATTGTCTGCAAAATTTACCTTTTAATATTTTAATTTTCAGGTCAACTTTTAAATATTTCAACATAGATCGTGTGTGTGTGTGTGTGTGTGTGTGTGTGTGTGTGTGTGATTTTTAATCCCCTAAGGTGTTGTTAACATTTGGAATACCCTGACAGGACATATTCTTTAGGAGTATTAAGGGGTTACTATAAGGTTTTAGTGATGTTTATTTCTGGTCATGCCTAGAGGGTTCCCCAATGAGCCTAATAACTATGGGAAGCTATTTTTCATTGGAGACTTGAGTGGTGTTCTTGATACATGAGTTGACTAGAACTGCATGGATAGGGTTTAGGAATCCGGTAATACTAGCAAATTATAAACTTTGCAGTGATGTCTAGGCCAGATATACCAATTTGTCCTGTGCCCGAGTATTAACAAAACGTTCTAGTATCTAAGTCCCACTAAACATGGTGGCTGAATACTACTGCTAGAATATTGTTACATCTGCTTTGAGTTAACATTTCATGGAAAGGTAGGAGCCTTGGTAATTTCACTGAGCACATAGGAATGGCTGTTTTTATGCCTACTCACTAATAAATATTCCTATTTGTGGCAGAATTTGGTCCGGGACATGCTGTCTGAATCACACATCTTCTAGGATCTCAGTAATGGCTGATGAGATCTGTAGCTCTTATGTTTGCTTATTGGATGTACAGAGTCCAATGATTTTGGAGGATCGAATTGGCTCAGGTCACTTGGCGTGCTAGTCATAAACTCTATGTCTAGAACTCGTTTATCTTCTTGAATTTTTAAAAATTTTATAAAACAAATACACACATTAGGCAAAAACTAAACTGCAAAGAAGAATATACAATACCTTAGCAGCCCAATCTCTATTTCTATTAATTAGACATGTGTCTTTACTTTGTCGGATAGAGACATGTCCTATAAGTTCTCTTTTTGGGCTTTTATGTGCAATAATTCATTAAAAATGGATGCTGGGTTTGTAAAGCGTCACCTGAATGCTAAATATCGATACAGAGCCCCGATCTGCCTTTTTGGAGAGGGTAAAGGGATGTTTTGGCAGGGAATATTGGGAATAACTGGCTTCTCTCGCAGCTTTCATTTTGATGAGTTAATTTAAATTTGTTCCATCTTGAATTTTTCTTAAATACATGGAATTTTATAAATGCCAAAGAGGGCAGACTACTGCTTAGTACACTTTTTCAAGTGTTTTTGGGTTAAACCACTTGAAAACTAGGAAGAGTCCACTTTTGGCAAGTTCAATTCTAAAATGGACAGTTGACCATGGATAGTCGTTAGGGGGCTAAGCACTGTAACTACACCCAGGATTGCACCCTGTGCATAAACCAGTCCCCAATATGGGTGGGGGTGCGAGGTGAATACTGGTGGTAAATGGGAACTCAGACTCCGATCCCATCCTTTGTCTGCCAGTGGCTGGCTCAAGGGAGCTCAGGTGAGTCAGGACATGTCTGTCTGTGACCAAGTCACCACTTACAGAGCAGGGCATGTCAGCCTACTTCATTTGAAGAGAAAATTCAGCAAAACCTTTCCTGGGAGACCTAGAGATGCAGGCAGGTGGTGGTGGGGGGTGTATGGCAGAGTGGGAGGAGTCGGAGGTTCGGCAACGACCAGTGTGACCTTGGCAGGTTGCTTATCTTCTCAGCCTTGGTTTCCCTGTCAGCAGAATGGAGATAAGAAAAGGAGACGTACCTCCCAGGGTGGCGGTGAGCGATACAAGCATGTCAGTCCTTCATTCCTTCCAGATGGCGTTCAGGGCAATGCCTGAGACAGTTTCTGTCTTCAAGGAGTTTATAGTGGGAAATGAGATCCGTAAATAAGCCAGCCATCAAAGTCTGTATGCGTCCTCCTCCCCCCCTTAGAGAAGAGTTTTCCCAGCAGGTAAAGCCTGAGCTGATTAAGGATGTGTGACAGGTGAAGGTGTGCAAGTAGGAACACTTACAGGTTACAAAACTGTTCTGCAGTGTGTTTTGGTTTTAATTTATTATTTTATTTTATTTTGGTTTGGTTTATTTGTTTATTTTGAGAGAGAGAGAAAGAGAGAATCCCAAGTAGGGCCCCATGCTGACAGCACGGGGCTTGATTTCACAAACCATGACATCATGATCTGAGCCGAAATCAAGAGTCAGACGCTTAACTGACTGAGCCGCCAGGTGCCCCAAGTATGTCTTCTGGCAATATTGTTGTCCTTGTCTTTGGAGGCTGGTGGCGTTTGGGGGAGATGTGGTCATTAAACTTGGAAAATGCCATGTACACAACAGCAGCAAACAGATCCAAGCTGTTCAGAGCTATGCACTTGAGGGCTAGGGAGGCGTGAGAGGAACAGGTTCCCGAACCTTTGTGTGATGGAATAGAATATCCTGACAGGCCTTCCAATTGAGCATCCTTATGGATAAGCCAATTTCTTGGCCTGAATCTTGTTATTTTTAAAAAATGTATATTTTTATTTATTCTTGAGAGGGTGCAAATGGGGGAGAGGCGGGGCGGGGGGCAGAGATAGAGGGAGACAGAGTATCCAAAGTGGGCTTGAACTTACGAACTACGAGATCACAACCTGATCTGAAGCTGGATGCTCAACCCGCCAAGCCACCCCGGCACCTGAATATTGTTATTAAGGTGAGGTCATGGGCTGGAGTTGGGAAGAAGGGGGTATGATGCCGGTGAAGCCCTAATCATAGAGGAAGGGGAAGTAAGAGACAAAGTGGGTTTTTTTTCTGTCCCCAGAGATCACCTCACTGCCGAAAGTGTGGTTTGCAGACCAGCAGCATCAGCACCTCCTGGGACTTTATGAGAAATGCTGAACCTCAGGCCCCACCCCAGACCTACTGAACCAGAATCTGCAGCTTAACAAGAGCTCCAGGTGATTCCTGTGTGCTTCCTAGTTTCAGAAGCTCTGCTGTGGCCTGACCATGTGTTAGAAGGGATGTGCCGTGGCCTGTGTGGTCCAGAGGGTGGGGACTGTGTTGGTCTACTCTGTCCCTGTGAAGGTGGGTCTTGACTACAGGTGCACCTTCCTCCCATGACGGGGATTAGGATACCAGGCTCTCAGAGCTCAACATGCCATCTGTTAACAGCAGCACATCTCTCCGAGAAGGAGCCTCTGGTCAGAGGTGTTGAAGAAGTGCTGCACATGGAATTTGTGATTGTTAGCTTCGTGTGTCAACTTGACCGAGCCGTGGGGTGCCCAGATATTTGGCCAGACATTATTGGAGATATTTCTGTGAGGATGTTTTCAGAGGATAGTCACATTTAAATTGGTAGACTGAGTAAAGCAGATTGCCCTCCCCAGTGTGGGTGGGCTTTATCCAATCAGTTGAAGGCTTGGATAAAACACAAAGAGTGATCCTCCCCCAAAGAAGCAGGAATTCCACCTGCCTGACTGCCTTCAAACTGGGACATCAGCTTCTTCTTGCTTTCCTGCTTGAACCCAACACTGGCTCTTCCTGGATCTTGAGCCCACTGGCCTCTGGACGAGAACTATGCCATCACCTCTCTTGGGTCTCCAGCTCATTGACTCACCTATAGATCTTGGGATTTGTCAACGCCCATAATCACATTAGTCATTTCCTTATAATAAATCTCTGTATGCATAATCATATCAGTAATTTCCTAGTTCTCTTTCTTTGGCGAACCCTGACTAATAAAAATACAATATTCTTTTTCAATGTGCATGGGATTTGTTAGACATACCAAATCTGTGCATTTATGTCCTTCATGGTGGCAGATAAATTCACGACCACTGTCTCCTTTAGTGCCTCTTTGCCGTTCTCTCTCGTGTTTTCCTGTTGCCTCTGCTCCATTCTCTTTACTTTTGGTTTAATTAGATTAATGCTTTAGCTTCTTTATCCATCATGATATCTGTTCTCTCCTTCACCTTTTCATTACCTTTGACTCTCTGGACTGTCTTCTGCCTAATTTCCTCATATGAAATTTCCAGTTCACCAGTTCTCACCTGTGTGTCCAGTTTGCTGTTAGACTTGTTTATTCACTTTTAACATATTCTGTTTTGTTTTTTTTTATTTCTAGAAGCTTTTTTTTTCTCCCAGATCTTGATCGTTTCAAGTCTCTTGTTCTTTATTCATTTTCAGCCTTTTAAAAAAATGTAATGAATATTAAATATGTTTTTTCCATGTTCCAATAACCCCATATCTTTATGTTTTTGGCTTGTTTCTTTTCCTCTTTTCCTGCGGGCTCTCACCCTGTTCCTTGCTGCATGTGTGTGTATGTGTGCATGCACATGCGTGTTGCCTGTGCACATGTGGTATTTTTGACTGGGATCCCATGTCTCTCAGAATGCATTCTGGGAGTACTCTCAGGTGAAGACTGGTATTTGCTTCTGCCAGGTACCTGGGGTCATTACCAACCTGGGGCCACTTTAGACAGGATTTCTAGCTTGCAACTTTTGAGATCACACCTGTGTGAATTTGGATTGCAGACTTACATGGAGGTTGACTTGCAGCTGTAAACTCTCAGAGGAGTATTGTTTGCTAGTTAGTCCATTGGTTTGAGATAGGCAAACTTCCTCACAGTCTTCTAAGTATGCACTTACTTTTCCCCCCATCTTATTGTGAATGTGATTGGAGCTGTTTTCTAGTAGACTTCTCGTCACCTTGAGCTGTTTTCTAGTAGACTTCTCGTCACCTGGAGCTGGCTCTGGGCTTTACCAGGGGAGCCTGTGAATGCCCAAGCTCAGATCCACTTGGTATAGAAAATACTGTCAAGACTAGAGCAGCTTCACTTCCTTGTGTATCTTATTGTTTGGCACTTAAGTGCTCTTCCCTTTCTGGCCATCTCACTGCTCCTTTTAAAGAGATGCTTTGCCAGAACTTTTACTTAACTTCAGTGGGAGAATTGGTGAGGACATCTAGTATGCTATACAGATGGAACTAGAAGGCGTATTATCTCCTAACAGTAGTTGCTACTGGACAGCTGTCGTGGGGAAAATGGTGAGAGGACCCCAGGAGCCCCTGACCTCCTAACTTCCGTCTAAGGCAGGAAGGAGATGAAATAGATCATGCATTTTCAGCTCCTTCTCATTATGTGGCGGTGCCTCATGTTGCTTCATAGTCTATAAATTCCCAGGTAATGGAGATCCTTTTTATTTTTATTATGTAAAGTGCCTTCTGTAACATCAGTTTCATCATGATCCTAGATTTCTATCAGTTACTCTTAATACAGTTCAATTTGCTGGCATCACACCAAGAGCTGGGCTTGTCTCTTAACAGAAGTACAGTGATTTTGACATCACACAGAACTGGCCTCTGATTTCTGATATGATACCTTCTAGCTGTGTGACTTTCACAGAGTCAGTTTACTGTTCTGACTCTTAGATTCTGTATTTCTAAAATGGGGTTATTCATACCTACTTGTAGGGGTGTCATGTAGATTAATTAAAAGACATCTATAAAGAACTTGGCATATAAGATTTAATAGATGGTAGTCTATTCATTAATCTTTAAGTTTTTTCCCAGTGAATTTAGAATTAGAGAATTCTAGGATTAGAAGATATCACAAGAGCCTGATCTTAGGGAGAAATTGCCTCCAAACTAACCTAGAACATTCTGTTGTAGGCCCAATTTTAGCATCTTGATCTGGAATTTAACTACTCTTACTTCATTTAGTTGCTAGAAGACTGAGAAGCTATCATAGATATAGAAGCTAACAAAGATATTTCTAATGGTGGCTTTCAAGAAGGGCCTAAGAAATACGAAGTTGATATTCTAGAGGAACTCAGGCTTAATTGCCTTCAGGGGAAAAGATCAGCACCATAGTCTAGGACCAGAGTTTGGAGGTGAATTTTTACCACATCTAGATATTCTTGGATTTTCCCATAGCATGTATTCTTTCCATCCCCCTTCAGGAAGTTAGCACCCAAGAGAATAAAGAGCAGTTAATAAAATTCAGGGTAAGTCATGACTTGGATAAGGCTTGATCTTCCTTAATGGGCTAAACAATTCCTAACATACATAATCCACATCAGACCTTCAGCCTTCCTATCTCCAACACTGCAGTAGGGTGAGAGAGAATGGAAGAACTTTACATAAGACACAAAGGCCATTTTAGGAAATAGCATTTGGAGTGAACAGGGAGTAGAATCAGAGGGTTGAAATTAAAGAGGGGGACATTGAGGTGGTGGGAGCATGGCTAATATTTTCACAAGGTTAAGATGATAAAATTTCTGCTTAATTACAGGACCACTTTACCTCTTTCCTCTTTGTGATATTTTTTTTAACCTTTAATTGCCTTACAATTATTTATGCATCAGTCTGTTTTTCTTAACTAGATTAAAAGCATCTCACAAGCAAGATCAACATAATCCTAGTGTCCACTCAAATTTATGTGGTCATTTACGCTGCCAGTTATTAAATATACACAAAAGATATGGCCAACTGGTATACCTGTTAATATTCATGGTGGGGTAACAAGCACTGAATACTGTGAGTCCTAAAAAAGACTTCAGTCTCAAACTCTGTTGAACATGTCTGAATGCACTCCTGTGTGGGAAAGGAATTGAGGTGAGTGAGCCTTATCTGAGGGTATGTGACCAATGCAGTTCGCTTGGTTTCAATTTACCCATCCTGTTCTGCGCCAGGGAAGATGGTATTTGTGTCAGCTCCATGGGGTCGCTGAGCACGTGTTGCTTTGGATTATTTTCTGTCTTCTCAGTACATTACACCATTGGGACGGCAGCGGAGACAGCACTCCCACCTCCATCTGGCTGATTCCAGGAGCATTCGCAGGCTGGACCGTTACTCTGCCTCATGTTTCAGGTCACTGTGACCAGAAGGGTGTTGCGTTCTCTCTCTCTCACACTTCAAGCCTTGTTCTCACATTGTGCTCAATGTTACAGTGTCAGCAGAATATGCACCAGTCAGTTAAAATGAATTTACCTGTGTTAAAAAGGCATTTGCTTGGGAGAAAGGTCCGGGCCAGTTTCCTCCTGTCTCCATTGTGACCGCTGTTGAAACAAACTAGAACCCCTGCGCCAGCCTTGAAAATGCCTTCCATCTTTTTCTTTATAAGCATCAACTCTATTTGAAAAAATGCCTGCCATGTCTGTTTCCATGCTTCTATTTTTGCCACTGCTGTTTATTTCAGACCTTTAACTCTTACGTGAACTCTTGCAGAAGGTGCGTGATACACCCATCTGTGTTTTAACTGTACTTAACGGTAGCCTGCACCTGAGCACAACCCCAAGGAAAAATTTCTGTGGCTGCCCTTCGGATGAAGTCCAGTGCCTCGGCATGATTTCCCAAGCCTTGAACAATCTGGGACTAGCATATCTTCCTGACTTTTCCTCCTGGGCTGCCCTGGTGTTCCAGTGTCCTAGTGGGGCTTGGCCTCTCACCCATCCCCTCCTAGATCACGTGTGTTCATGCTTCTGCGGCTTTCTTCCACCTGTTTCCTCCACCTGGATTATTATTCTCTCCCTCCTCCGCCTGGTGTGCACCCATTCATCCCTGAAGGGGCAGCCAAATGGAATGGAATCTGTACACATTCCCTTCTCCGACATGATTGATACCAGCAATGGCTGATCGACCAAAAGAGTCAGTTAAGGAAGAAAATTTAAAAAAACAAAACAAAAACCCCAAAAAACAAAAGAAGAACAACCAACCTACTGAAATCTTCTCACTTATATCAAGAACATTCATTTATTAACCCTTCAGTGTAAGGTTTCTTGAGTATGTTTTCACTGATTAAAATTCTCCATTGACTTTCTTCATAAACCGCAGTCAGAAAGTTGTTTTCCAGTTTGGGTCTTTTATAAAAAATTTTTTTAGTGTTTTTATTTATTATTGAGAGAGAGACAGAGCATGAGCAGGTGAGGGGCAGAGAGAGAGGGAGACACAGAATCCGAAGCAGGCTCCAGGCTCCGAGCTGTCAGCACAGAGCCCGATGCAGAGTTTGAACCCATGAATCATGAGATCATGACCTGAGCTGAAGTCGAACACTTAACCGACTGAGCCACCCAGGCGCCCCAGCTTTCCAGTTTGGGTCTTTAAAAAGTGGTCTGAATGCAGAGTTATTTTATACTTTAATGATTTCATCCCCAAGTTTTTATAATCATCTCACTCCTAATTAAAGCGCATTATCCTCCCCACCCCCTACTTTGCACAACAGTGCAGATGTACTTAATGCCACTGATGTGTAACACTTAACATGGTTAGGATGGTGGCGGCCAGAGCGAGGCTGAGTTTGGGTGGCCTAGACAACACGTACTCCGGTACCCCATGATCAGTGTGCTGGCGAATGTGGTTCTGGTGAAGACCCTCCTCCTGGCTCGCAGGCAGTTGGAGAGGGCACACCTGCTCCAGTGTCTTATAAGGACCTGAGTCCTGTCAGATGGGGTCCCACCCTTATGACCTCACTTAACCTTATTTACTTCCTTTGAGGCCCCATCTCCAAGTAGAGCCAGACTGGGGTTAGGGCTTCAACATACGAATTTTGAAGGGAAACACATTCAGGCCATAAGAGATGGTTTTATGTTATGTGTATTTTACCACAGTTAAAAAAAAATACTGCCGTATTGTTTTCTAACATTGAAAAAAAATGGCCTTTCAGTTTCCTGGTAACAAACTCTATT